AAAAATAAAATATTATAGGTTACATTTTAGTTTTAGTATTGAGTAAGGTTAATGAATATAGAAACCACTAAGATCTTTCACTCCATTCTGTTGTCGTCAATCGCCCCGCAAAGATGATGACCGCAAAACAGGAACCGCAACAACATTCACAATTGCACAAAGTTCGATCAATCCATTTACATATCCATTTACTGAATGTAGTTATCATCTGCGTTGGATATAAACCTCTGAGGGCTTGAAACTATTTCAAAGTTTTAATGTAACCAAAATATATGTACAATGTATAATAGCAATTAGGCTATTCAATGGGACAACAGCTCCCATAATTGAATAATTAGGATTCAAATAATTAAATCAAATTATGTCAAAATCTTATACAATTCAAATAATAGAATTGAAAAAAATTGTCTAGTAAGTAACACCGTACCAGTGTTAATCTACGTTACTCATAAAATGAACAAAGCAGATATGAAGCAATATTTTTTCACAGCTGCAACAGTCATTGAAATATATTCAATCTGCTAATATGGCTTTCTATGCGATTTCTACAACGCTGGCATCTTTACAGTACAATCGATATCTCAATGTATATTAGTATACTTACTCGCAATCATGAGGTTTTATTCCTTTATGCAATTTGATATGCTCTGTAAGTCGTCCTTGTGAAGGATATATATTACCGCATATATCACATATGTATTGTATACATTCTTTTGATTTGTATTTACGTTTTGGTTCTCTTTTTGGTGATTTAGTGGTCTTTGTTTTTTGTACACCTCGACTGGTGCTTGCCTTCAATGAATTTTCGTCATTTCTATTGATTGGTTTCCTACCGCGTTTTTCTGGTTTAACTTTTTCATTTGGTACATAATCTGCATCTGATGTGTTACCCGCATATTCTATTTGTCCCTCGCCTTCTGTTTCTGCTTTTACAATATCATCTAAGTACTCTGTTTCTTCTGTGATGACAGCTTCAACAATCTATACATTAAAATAAAAAAAAAATGTATTTAAAAAAAAAAATCTTTTAAGTAAATAACAATGAACACTCACATTGATTTCTTCACAATCAATAAATTCATCAACATTGTCTATTTCATCGAACTCTTCGACATTATCAATTTCAAGCGGTTCATACATATCCATAATATCTTCTTCATCTATAAGTTCATTTTGTTCTTCTTTTATATTGATTATAGCATCTGGTTCCATTTTCAATTCCATTGCGTCTGACTCTTCAGCTATTAAATCATTTGTGTCGATTGGTATCCGCTCCACAACAACTGGCGCGATGAAACGACTTAAATGTTTGTGGGAACGTTGGCACATTACACGGAATTTATATGCTACACGTAAATAACGTAGACATCTGCCACATATCTTATCCGGATAATGATCAAACTTTTTTATCTATATTATTTGTGCACGAAAATATAATATATGTTTGTAAATATCTAATTGAATATTCAAAAAACTTACTGGTACACCGCCACATTCAAGTATCATTTGTGTTAAATCATTGTTGTCGTTGGTGTCAAAAATAGTGTTCATCGTCTCTTTTGGTTGTTTTAAACAGACTCGACAGACTATCCATTTCTCTGTCAAGTTTGATTTCATTTTTACAATATGTTGTGCACAATTTGTAATTCCAAATATTTGTTTTCAATAAATTTTACACGATTGACGAAACAAGGTGGCTGCTTTTGTTCTGAACAATCTGGCGTTCTTTTTTAAGTGACCATTCACAATAGTTTTTAAAAACGCAGTGTTGCATTAGACTGTATAGTTGTAACTGAAAAATATATTAAAAAATTTGGCATAAATAAATATATGATACATATCCATAAATATATAAATTACATGGTATATTCATAAATTTTTTTATAATCTTAAATAAAGCACATATCAATGATATACTCATATTTAAAATATAAATATTTAAATACGAATAGTTTGATGCACTTTGACGTGAAAGAATTGTTATTAAAATTTATAACATCATATTATTTGATATCTAGTACAAAGTATATTAGTATTAAACATTAATACACTTCTATTGACGTATATAAAATATAATAGTACATTCATACTGTTTCTTTTTAGCACTTGCTCATTTATATTAATGAGGAAACATTCACATTATAATGAGCTCAATTATGCAGATAGTAGAGCTTTAATAAACTTCACTTAAATATATATCTCATAAAAAAATGAAATATATAACTATGTAACTGATATATTAAATCATGTATATACATTTTATTTATCAATTACATATTCAACTCATAAAAGCAAAAATGTTCTTAAATATTTACTTCCTCAGTGCATTTGTTACATTTTACTTATGAAATATATGAAAAATACACCATTTTCTTTTTCCCTTATGGGAAATTTATTTTTAAGGGTTGCATTCCTGCCTTAAATTAGCTAGTTTATTGATAATTAGCTTATTTTTACGAAAAGTTTTTGTATGGTAAATCATTCTCATTAGTGGTTATAATGGGCAAAGCCGCCTAAATGAGACAGTGTGAACGTGCTACAAAATTATTTTATTGTAGTTATATAGAATAATTCTATTGTGTTGTGGTCTAAAATTGCAATTAATAGCTAAAAAGCTGTACAGAATTCATAAATGTCAAAAGAACATTATGTTGTTTTCAATTGGTGAATCTGTATTTAATCTAGATTTACTCGCGGTCTGTCAAATTTTATTGTCCAATCGAATACGCTTAGAGTAATAACACATTCACAGTGTTTCATTTAGACGGTTTTGCTCATTATAGTCACTAATCATGATAATTTACCTCACAAAAATCTTTAATGTGCTCATTATCAATAAATCAGCTCATTTAAGATGAAAAAGCATTAAAATAAAAATAAATTTCTCACAAGGAAAATTATCAAAATTAGAAATGCCTCATATTTTTTATATGTAAAATGTAGACTAACAAAAGCTGAGTTATAAACAAAGGCACTGAGGAAGTAAATATTTAATAAAATCTGTGTTTTTATTAATTGAATATGTAATTGATACATATATAAAATAAAATAAAATGTATATAGATGATTTAATAAATAAATTATATAATTAATTTTTTTTTGTGATATATTAAGTGAAGTTTATAAAAGCTCTATTATCTGCATAATTGAGATCATTATAATGTTAATGTTTCGTTATTAAAATAAATGAGCAAGAGCCTAAATAAGACACTGTGAATGTACTATAATCTAACATTTTTTCAGTCGAATCAAATCACAGCTATTAATTTCATTGTAATGTTGCTAGTTTGGCAAAATATCTAGTGTTATAAATAAATCTCGAGTGTTATAAATAAATCTGGAGTGTTATAAATATATCTCGAGTGTTATAAAAAAATCTCGAATAAAACTAGAGAGTATTTACTTGTATGGAAATGATTTTTTTTTATAACATATATAAATTTTAGTTTGATTTGGTTTAATGTTCCAAAGTATTGTCCAGGGTTCTAAATTATTACTTCTTATATATATACTCAATTATTTGTTTGCTAACAACGAACAGCATTTCCTAGACAGGAATTAAAGTTTTAACTTCTGGCTAGTTAGTTGTTGTAACTTAAATTGACCTAGAAAGCAGAGTCATGCAAGGATGCTCAACTTTGAATTTGATTCTGATAGAATGAGAAGAGTGAACAGGGGTATGGTAGAAGAAAGAAAGCAATCTTTTTAATTTAATAAGAGGGAACTGTAAATCAATAAAGTTGAAGTGTGCGTATTTGTATCGCCAGCAGTTATTTAAGCGTGAAGAGTGACTCTTTAAGACGTTGTTATATCCAGACCTTAATTTAATGAGAACAGTTTTTGCAGCACATGAGTGATGTATTTTAGATGAAGGACCTTTAAGATCTTTGTTGTTATATAATTGAAGTGTCGAAGAATATGGTTTTTCGGTACGGTGGTTAGAAATCCTTCATCGAAATTCGACGTTATTGATACTCAAAATATATATGCTTTATTATTTATATATAGATCATTAAACATACTGCATCTTTTGTCAATTTTAATTCTTATAAAGACAGTAATAATTATAAACAGTCACACTATCATTATTTCATTACATTAAGAACATTTAAAGACAGTACAATAGTATAGACATAGAAGATATCATATATGTGTTTTTAAACTTTTTTGTTTATAAAAATCGTATTTTTATTTCAAAAAGAAATTAAAAATAAAACAAATTAGCAATTTTCATTAAATTTATGTATTTTATTCTATTTGACACACAAATCTAATTTTTTTATTATTCATATATCTTATGAAATTATACTTAACTATATTTCTCATTCATTTCTGCACACTAGAAGCACGGACAACTTATGTATAGATGTCTAACGTTTTTAGCCAAAATTCGTAATACTAATATGCCGTTCACACTACAAGCTTAAGATAATTTACGAAATGAACCTAAAGTGTTTAAACACACTCCACATTTGTTTTAAAAGTTTTCGATTCCTTACGGAAGGAGGACTTTAAAAAATGCACTCACATTATATAGAACAGCTGCTATCAGAAATTTAACTGAAAAATTGCGAGAAAAAAGGAAGGAAGGCAGCTATAGTAAATTGTGTGATAATGCTAGAAAATTTTTGCAATTTTACTAGACAAAAAACAAAAGAAAATATTCGGCAAAAGCATAAGCAGCATTTTTTGCGTTTCTTCGCTAGCAGATTGTAATTGAATTTGGAACTAAAAACGAACATTAGTTAGTGTAATGAGAAGTGCTTATAACACTTTGAATCGTAATTTATTTAAAATATTCAAGTTATGTCATGTGTTCTCTGAAGACAAAGTATTTGTTGGCATTGTATTTTATATACAGTGAAACTTCCATAACTCGACTTCTATAACTCGAATTTTCTATAACTCAAATTAAATAGACTGCAACAGGGTTTAGAGAGCAAATTAATACAATTCTTTAACTCGAGGTTAGCTGTAGACTAAATCGCCATTGTACGATCAAATTAAAAAATTTTAATGGGGATTTGTTTTGTATGGCATTGTTATTATCTATAAATAAGTGACCTGAGCTAGAAGCATGCAAAATAATAAATAAACTAATTTATAGAAATTGATACATAGGCGATGACTGTTCATAGAAAACTTACACAATGATCTGCATCAATCCATATCATCGGGGCATATAAAAAGGATTCCCTTCTTGTGTGTACGTTCATGTGCTTTTTTGTGATGAACTTGAGCAAATTTTTTGCCACAAGTTTCGCAACTAAAATTATACGAAATTGTTAATTAAAAAACCAAATAATAGTCAATTATTTCAACCTGAAAGGTTTTTCACCACTATGCATCATCATGTGCACTTTCAAGACATTTGAGTAGGCAAAGCTCTTATTGCAGATTGTACAACTGTAAGGTCGTTCATTAGTGTGTATACTGAAAAATTTAAGAATTATAAAATTAATTTTTACACATTTTCAGTAAATCATATGTTGTATAATTTAATAAATTACTACCGTTCATGTTTAATTTTTGTTGAGGGATCTGTAAAAGCAGCACTGCAATATTTGCATTTAAAAGGGCGATTGCCGGTATGAGAGTTCATATGGCGCGCCAATTGAGGTGTGTGAGTAAAACGTTTGTGACAAATTCTAAAAAAAATACGAAATTAGAATGTTATATTAATAATTTCAATGAATAACGTACTCGCATTCATGTGGTTTGTCTTTTCTGTGATATTTCATGTGAGCTGTCAATTTAGATTTCTCATTATAAATGTTTCCACAATGGCAACAAATGTGCGCTGGATACGATTTCAGTGCCTGTTTGCGTTTGGCTGGTGTCTTTTGTGTACTTCCTGTTTCCGATTTATTTTCTTTACTTATTTTTTTCTTAAACGTAGTGGGCATAACTTGTACAGATGTTATTTGCAATTCAGTTTCGCTTACAGTTCTGTTAATAATGTCGCTATTTTGTTCCAATCCATAATCACTACTTTGACTCTCATCATACGGTTCATAGTCATTGCTATTAGATGCTAAATATGATGCTTCTGTGGTGTAGTTTGTTTCTTCTTGTAAAAATTCATCATCTTCACTTGGCATATTATCCAACTAAAATTAAAAAAAAAATTATCACAACACACAATTACAGTTTACATTTACCTCACAACCAACATCCGTCTCCCCAACATACATTTCGGTCATATAATCAGATACTATGATCTCATATGTTTCCTTGACCGTGTCATCTGCATTAGGTTCCTCTTTTATTTTTGCAGATACAATAATAGGCTCATCCTCACTTTCCGCCTCATTCGGTTTACTGCTTACATTTTTTATATCTGTTATATTTTGTAGTTCCTGCTGTTGTACACCCAACTTTTGTTCCGATATTTGGCATAGCTTCCGAAATTTTTGTGATATTTTTAACAATTTTAAGCATTTGCTGCAAATTTTCTTTGGCAGATCATCTTCGTTATTTAACTAGAGATTAAATATAGTAAAGAAAACTGTTTTCATTCTGTTTTATATATTATACGTTTCTTCATACCACTATTCCACCACATTCCTTTATGTCCTCAACTATATTTTCTTCATTGTTATTCTTTCGAAATATTTCTGTCATATTTGCAGAAGGTTTTAAACATATACGACAAATTATCCATTTTTCCATTGCATTTAAAATTATACTTCAAATGATTGGCAATAATTTTTTAGAAATATTATTTTGATATCCGAAAACGCTGACTTGACAGATGTCAATAAATAAAACTGGTT